TAAAGGGTTTTTACTCACTGATTTGTGCCAATAGATGTCCTTTATCTCAATGACAAGTATTACGTTGCTTTCAAAGTTTTATTTATAGCTATTGATGTAAAACCCACACACACAATATTATTTGCCAAAGTTCAATAAAGGAGGAAAACAACGCTTTCGCTTCCTTGTGCGATCCAAAGTTTCTGATTTTTTCCCCCAGGGTTTTTTTCCACCACAGCCCATCCCACACCCAGGGGTGCAGGGGAGCCAAGCAGGGCTCGGGCTGCTGCAGCTCTCAGGGACAGGGAGGGGTGAGGAGAGCTGAGCACAGCCACGCTAACGCAGGCCCCACATCCCAAAAAAAAACCACCACCTGGCACCGAGGGCCTGGCCAAGCATGAGCAGCAGCACTTGGGAAAGGATCTGGCACCTTCTCCCAGGAGCACAGCCTGGGATATTGCAGGAGAAATCACTTTAGGTAAGGCATGGAATTATGTGATGCAATGTGCATTTATGTTAGTTATTGCACTTTCTTTCCCTGAAGCAGCTCTCTACGGGAGGAGGCAGGAGGTTCCTGGAGCTGAAATTCCATGGCAAGGAGGATGTAGCAGGTTTGCCTTCATTCATTCTTTCATTCATTCAGTCAGTCACTTACCCTAGCTGTGGACAAATCTTGTTTGTTTTGTTTCCTCAAAAAAAACCCAACCAAAGTGCACAAGTAAAGCACTTCGTGGTATTTCTGTCTTTGAAAACCAAACCAAAGCAGCCCTGTCTTGCCCTAAATCCCTTCTCTGAGCACCTGGAGCAGGGTCAGCCTGGGGGGACCCCTAGCACCGTGTCCCAGCCCCAGAGCTGTGCAAGGTTTCTTGTCCGGGCTCTAACCTTGGCACCAACTAACCTCGGGGTTAATAAACCAGCACCGTGTCCCAGCCCCAGAGCAGTGACAAGTGCAAGGTTTCTTGTCCAGGCTCTAACCTTGGCACCAACTAACCTCGGGGTTAATAAACTCACTGAAAAATTTGTTTTCACAATTCTCTTTGTGTCCCTCTCTGGAAACTGAGCCAGGATTCTGCCATTCATTAAATTCACACCGCTTCGTTTCACTTTGCCCAGCGGCCACGGGCGCAGATAAAGGCAGAGCTGTCCCCTCAGCACTTTGTGTCACAGAGGCCAGGACGTGCCTCTGCCAGCCTCCTTTCCTTCTCCCTCTGGCTGGGCTGGGCAGGGGGAGCCCCCTGTGCCCCCCGGCTGCCTGAGGAGTGTTTTCTTCCTGAGGAGCAGGCTGCAGGGGCAGTGCCACGGCTGCGGATAAAAACCTTTAACAGCACAGAGGAGAGAGGGGTGACACCGAGACTAATGCAGCTGGCAGGTCATTTCCATCTGGCCCGCAGGATTGCTCCCCCGGGGATGCGTTTTGCAGGCACTTAGCAGCGGGCACAGCTGGGAGAGGGAAATGGGACCGTTTCATTAAGCTGCCCGAAGCTGAAGGATGGGCTGGGTGTGAGGTGGGACTGCAGCCGCTCGGGGTCCAGCGGATCCCCTCAACTCAGCGTTTCCTAACCCTGCCGAGATTCCCAGTAAAAAGTGCTGTGAAGCCCCCTGAGGAGCAGACACGGCGCTGCCATCCTCCTCCTCCTCGGGCGGTGCATCTGTCAGGACGAGCAGTAATGAGCTGCAGATGAAGCGCTGGCAGCTCTTCTGATCCAAACACTCCACAGCAATTGAAACCCTGCGGGGAATTCCCTCGGGAAACAGCCTGCAGGGAAAGCGAGTCAGGGCGAGGGAAGCGGGTTTCTTCTGGAGGAAAACAGCGGGAGCTGATTTTTTTGTGCTGATTTTCAGCACGTGTGGGATGGAGGCGCTGAAGGGAAACAACCAGGGCAAAAAAACCACCTTGGAACAGGCAGCGTGGCAGCGGGATCATCAGCTGGGAACGGCTGTCACCAGTGCCCAGGCACAGAGAGGAGAAGCCAAAGGCAGCTCTGCCTGCCACAGGCTGCACCCAACCTTCGGCACACAAACCTCCAGGAGTGACTCCGGGCTCCGGCTCAGAAAGGGACGATGGCAGGAAGCCATAAGATATTAACCCAGCAGATTAAAACATACAAGACCACTTTGGGTCATGTTACACCTCCCGCCTGACAGCACAAGCAGTCCAAGGCAGTAAAAGACAGGCGTAATGGCCCAGTAACACGGGATAAAAGCGCTGGGGGAGTTGGCTGTGAGGAGCCCGGCCCCCCCCGGACTCCTCACATCATCCCTTAAGTGCTCGTTTAAGCTTCCTTGGAAATGCCCCTGCTCGCTGCAGAAACGCATTTAGGCCTCAATTGCGGGTGATGTTCACACGTTATGGATCATCCCTAAAAAGGGCAGGAGAATGCAGGATTCCCGTGACAGCTCCCTGTTCTGTCATTCCGGGAACTGCCAGGCTCCGGGTCTGCAGTGCCCATCCCTGCCCCGGGAGCCACGGGATCACGGCCAGCACTTCCAGAGACTCACAGAATCATCTGGAATGCGTCCGGGCTGCAAGGGAGCTTAAAGGCATGCCAAGGGCAGGGACACCTTCCAGCAGAGCAGCGCTGCCAGCCAGCATGCTCCTGCACAGCTCCAGGGATGGCACGGAGCCCTCTGTCCCCTCTCTGTGGCCTTCGGGGCTCAGCTGGCAGCGGAGCAAAGGCTCTGTGTGCTGGAGATCACCCCCTCTGGAGAGACAATCCATCTCCACACAGGCACGGGAAGGATGCTCGTCAGCCAGGCCAAAGGGCTCAAATTAAATAACCTTGTGCTGGGCACTGCTGAGACAGATTTAGCAGGAAAACAAAAGGCAGGTTTTAGAGCTGGTGCAAATCTGCACATCCCTGTGCTCTACAGGCAGAAGTAGAACCTGCTCCTGAGGGCTTGAAATGCTGATTGACAACTAAATCCCTTGTCCAGGTTGTGCTGCTGGAGACAAGGACTTCCACAGAGCATGAGAGACGCAGCACAGCCCGAACACGCTCGGGAATTTGCTCCTGGAAATGTGAAAAAAGCAAGCCCTTGGGAAAGAGGGAGGGAAGGAAAAGTGCCTCCACGACGTCAGAGGCTGTTTTGGATTCAAATATGACATTGCCAGAGTTCTGCCAGGCTCACAGAGCCAAATCCCCACTCAAAGAGAACACAGCAGAGCTTGGGCTGAGATTCCAGGAGGAAAGAAGCACCACGGCTGCTCTCCTCCCTATTTCCCACCTTCCATTGTGTCAGGTTTGCATCCTGCTCTCTCCCAGTCACAAGAGCTCACTAATGGATCAGCTTAAGCATCCAGCATCTCCAATCCCTGCTCTAGAAAACAATCAATCGAGCACTTAATTAGTAACATAGCAAGGAGCTGCCCAGAGACCGCTAAGAGGGAACAGAATAAATTATCCATCGCAGGTGGGACCCCACACCAGGGCAGATCCCTGATTCACTGTCTTCTCCAGTGTTTTTAGGGGTGTGACCCAGCCCAGCCTGGCACCAGAGGTGCAGAGAGAGCTTCAAACACCAGCACAAAGGGCTCTCACAAAGACACACAGCTCAGCTGTTTCCTCAAAGAACTTTAATGGGAATTCCATCCTTATGGCAAATGACAGTAGGAGCAGCCAAATTTGCTGTGTTACATCAAATGGAAGTCCTTGGTCAATGTGAAATGCATGTGTAGGGCTAAAAGCAAGGATCTGTGCACATGTGGCATGAACAAAACCAAGGGAGCTGCTCTGTCTTGGGGATCCCCAGCTCTCTGGGCACGGCAGAAGGGAGAATTCACTGAGCTTTTGGGAACTCCTGGGGAAACCCTGGCCCCCCTGAACTCAGCTGTGCCATCCTCCTCCGCAGGGGATGGCAGGAGGCCAGCTCCCACACCACCCACCCCCCCTCAGTGTCACAGCACCTTCTGGAAGCTCCCACCTTCTCTGAAATGCAGCGAGGACCGACAGACAGCTTAAAAAGAAACTCAAAAATTCACTCAATCGTGGAAACAAAAGCCAAACTGCAGAGTGTTAAAGCAGGAAAACAAGCTCACCCCTTTACTTCCCATTTCTTCCCTCGGGACGGGCCGTTCCTAACTCCTCAGTTTCCAGTCGAGGCCCCACAGTGCTGGGAGCTCTGGAGGGCAGATCAGAGACCTCCTGCCAGCCCCAAAGTGCCCCACGGCTCCAGCCCAGCCCAGCACACCTGCAGGGCAGGGTGAGCTGCAAACTCAGCGGGACACAGCACCGAGGAGGGCTCAGCAAGGCACAGGCACCATGGATTCATCTCACCCAACCCGCCAGGCACTGGCCTGGGAGGTGAGGAACTCCTCAGAAACCTTGATGAAAACTAGCCCCTGCCAGCACACAGCAGCACCAGCTCTGTGAGACAGGCTCCATCTGCTAAAAGCTGGAAAATGAAGTGATTTCTGCACCATGGTGTAATAGCAGCAACAGAGTAATTATCCCGCTTGTGGTTAGAACACTCAAAAGTGAATTTTATTTTAAGTACCTTTTATTACTGAGGACAAATGTAATGCCTCAGAATCAGTGCCAGCTAGTATTTTCAAGACTCTCTCCAGTATGAAAATGAAAAGCCATCTGTATTTATAATACCACAAGGTTCATGTGATGTTAACCTTTGCTTGCCACACTTGTAAATGTGGTGGTCCCAGCCTGGAGCACTGGAAGGTCCACATTGCCTCCAGCTGTGAGCAAACAGGGGTGGGCAGGAAGATTGGACAGAGCAGATGGGTTTCCACTGATCCCAAAGTGTCACGCAGAGAAGTGAAACAGAGACAGTTCTTTGTCCAAGGAGAGATGTAAGGCCAGTGTTCCCAGACATCCTGGACATTTGTGCTCCTTTTTCCTGCCCAGGCAGCAAGCAGAGCCCACGGGGAGGGAGAGGAGGGAGAAGGGGAGCTCCTGGCTCCCTGCCACTGGAACAGTGCTTTCCACTGATCCCAAAGTGTCACACAGAGAAACAGAGACAGTTCTTTGTCCAAGGAGAGATGTAAGGCCAGTGTTCCCAGACATCCTGGACATTTGTGCTCCTTTTTCCTGCCCAGGCAGCAAGCAGAGCCCACGGGGAGGGAGAGGAGGGAGAAGGGGAGCTCCTGGCTCCCTGCCACTGGAACAGGCACAGGCATGAAGGGCCAAGGAAGACTTCTTTCTGAGGGGAACAGGGGGTTCAGTGCAGGAGGTTCTGGCACCGAAGGAATCTCAGTCTGTCTCACCCTGGGAAGCAGGTATGAAAATGGAGCAAGCGACTCTCCAGAGGTATTGGGGATTTACAGCACTGCACAGGTGCTCAGCACGGGATCCATCCGTTCCTTCAGCACCCCATCCTCAATTCCAACAACAAAACAGAACGGGACAAACCCCTGACACACCACAAGAGGCCTCTTCTCTCTTTGAACACCCTGCTCCCTAAAGACCAGAGGTCCAAACTGCTGCTGCCTCACGGTCACCTGAGCAGATCAACCCGGCCGAGCGGCGTGGCTCCCCAGCCACCAGCAATTCCCAGGAAGCAGCCTGCAGTGCCCAGCTGCTGGCATTTCAGTGCTAAGGACATCAAGTAAACGCGTGCCCGAGGAGGTGCCAGCGGGGCTGTCACCCGCAGGGCTCGGTGGCTTCGCAGGCAGGCAGGAGGGGACCCTGTGCCCCGGGGCACTGCCCCTGCCAGCTGTCCCTGCTGTGGGCTGGCAGCCTCTCAGGAGAGCCCCAGCCCCTGGCATGTGAAGCTCTGAATGACTCCTGACTGATCAGCTCCTGTTCCAGTAACAGCAGTGAAGCCACAGCAATCCTACCTACGGCACTCCACAGGTATCCCACAAAACCACAGTACTGTGGCACAGTAGAAAGCACAGAGTGGATCTATAAACCTCCTGGAGAACAAGGCTGACTTCCTAAATTTACTTCACCGAACAGAAAAAGCCCTTTTTTAATAAAAATAAGAAGAATTTTAAAAGCCATTCTGCTTAACAGATACACCAACGTGTTTCCACACATGCTCCTGCTAGACTCGAAACACGCAGTTTCAATGCAGCAAATTCTCCAGTATTACCCAAGCAGGCTAATTCCTTTCAATTTATACTCTTCAAATCATTTTCTGCAGATAATGAAAATGTTTTTCCTAGAAAATGTAAACAAGTTTTGTGCGTTCTACTATCCCAGCTAAGCTTTCACGGGAAGTTTCCGGCAGGAGAAAACCAAACCAAAACAAAGCCTTATCTTTATGCTCTAAAAAAAAAAAAAAAAAATTTAAAAAATAAAATAGCCATACACACCTTATTAAAAAGCCTTATTAGAAGGAACTTGATCTCCAAAGTCTCCAAAGCCAGCTGCAGAACAGACAACAGACTGTGCTGCTCAGACTGCACCTCAAGCAAAACCAAACTAAGTGTACCTTCGAGCTGGCAAGTTAAGGGACTCGTGCCCACCCTGCACACGAGTAAACCCCTGCATAGAAACAGAAGCCAATTGTACAAAAAGCTTTTCCAGAGAGTCCTGCCGGGGCAGGACGACACGAGACCTCCTCTCTCCTGCCAGGATAAATGCCTCCCTACCTCCTACCACTCTTCTCCAAGAACACATCAGCGAGCTCCCTGCAAGGGGAGGCCCCAGCCCGGCTGCTCGGGGGGCTTGGCTCACAGGGGCTGGCTGCTGAAGAACGCCTTGGTCTCCCTGCACACGGGGTTGACGCAGAGAGGGCAGCACAGGGTCAGCTGGCGGGAGCACACCTCGTTGGACTGCAGGTGGGAGCACACCAGGTCTGCCAGGGCCTGCAGGGAGAGAGGGGAAAGGTCAGAGGGAGCAAACGCAGCCGTGCCACCCCCCCAGCCCAAAGCCACGCCGAGTGCGGCACCGTGAACCCTCCCTGCTGGCAGGTCAGCACGAGGGGCTCCATTGCTGCCCTGAAACAACTCTGAAAACACCTTAAAACCACCTGAAAGCACCCACACTCAGCAGGAAGCACAACCGCAAAGCTGTACGGCGGATACCTTGGAGAACAGCGGATTTCCGTTCAGAGACTCCGCTCTCCTGATGTTTTCGACTCCACACTGAATCAAAAATAAGGAGGAAAAAGTTAAACCTGCTGATCTGAGCCTTCACTGGGTAGCCTTCAAAATCTTCCCGCTTCGTTCAGAAGCCACCCAAATGACAGGATGAAATGCAGCGTCACGGTTTTCAGTGCAGCAAAAATTAGCATGGGGCAACACCACACTCTGCTGCCAAAAATCATTCATTGTCTTTGAGCAATACTTGTAATGCTTTAAACACCTAAATCTACAAAGACAAACTCCCACCTATTTTGCGATTAAGCCAGTTCAGATGAATTTCTGATTACAGGAAATTAAAGCTAATCCCAAATAATAATGCAAGAAGCAACTACAAAGCAAATTGCAAGCCAGGAGAAATCATTTCAGAGCAGCACTACCCAAACCCACAGAGCATTCACCTCGTTGGCCAAAACCTGGGCGTACTCGATGTCCAGCTCATACAGTGTCTCAATGTGGTCACTGGTAAAGGCTATTGGGACCAGCAGCATGTTCTTCTTCCCTCGCTGGCACAGGCCTTTAATGGTCTCATCTGTCTGGGGACCAAGCCAGGGCATTGGTCCAACCTGCAACGAAAAAGCAGGAAGAAAGGGAAATCACTCATTAAATCACTCTTACAAAGAGCACCCACATTTCCTTAGGCAGGATGACAGAGCAGGTTATGGATGGGATGGAAACAGTTATTTTTATTTCCCTGCTTCTGGTTGTACTTCTCCCTTTCTGCACTGAATGTTTAATGCAGACACACTTCCCACCATTCCATCTCACAGGAGCAAAACCTGGGCCGGCCTGAACAAGACTGAAGAAAACAACCAAAAATGTAAGTAAAGGTGTGTTTTTTCAGTCTAGCAACACCCTGCACAGGCTGTACCTGCTCAGCTCCCCCGAGCACATACCTTGGACTGCCACACCAGCCTGTAAGGGTTGGAGTAGTTGAGCTTCTCCATGACCCTCTGCACAGTGGCTCCCACTTCCTGAGGGTAGGGATCCCCGCGGTTCACCACCTGCACCACAAGCACAGCACCCCTTTGGCACCGGGGAACACTCTGGGAGCGTGCAAGGGAGCAGAGTGGCCCTTGCACAGCTGTGTGCCCACACCCTGCCCCGAGGGAACTCACAGACATGGGCAGCGAGTGGGCTGAGAAGAGGATGACCACCTCTTTCCTTTTGTCCGGGGGGAACAGGTTCAGCTCCTTCTGGATGTGATCAGCAAAGCACTGCGCGGGGAGACACAAACAAAGGCCTGAGTGGGGAACACCAGAGGCTCTCAGGGGTGCAGACAGGCAGCTCCTGTGTCAGAGCTCCCAAATTCCCTCAGTACGTCATTTCAGACACGGAAGGCAAGACCCATTCATCACACAACTGAAATGCACCCTCCGATTGAAGCCTTCCTGTTGTCCTTTCTCAGTATTTTCTTCTGTATCTTAAAAGAAAACGTCTAAACCTCAAAGCCTTCAGATGCACACCTGAATGAGCAGGGGATGTGTGGGCCATCGGTCAATGATGCTCCACTTCATCTTTGGCTTCTCCCCTTTCTGGTTATAGTAGCGATAAATGGCATTTAAGCTGCTCCCTGAAACAGAGAATGAACACCACAACTTCAGCCAGGCCAGCAGCAGCAAGCTGTCAGGCTGCAACAGCTCGGCAGCAAGCTACGGTCACATTTTAAAATGTTACACCATGAAAACACAACAATCAGAGGCAGCGGAACGACCGCAGCCCAGCAGCCTGATGGTGACACAGCCGCAGCCCCCAGCCCTGGCCAGAGCTCACCCGTGGTGGAGCAGCTGTACTGGGGGTACTGGGTGAAGGCGATGGCTCTCTGCACGCCGTCCCTCTCCATCTCCTCCACGGCCTCCTCGGTCAGCGGGTGCACGTAGCGGAACCCGATGTAGTACTTGTGAGGAGCTGCCAGCCAGCAGGACAGGGGTGGCAGGACAGGGGAATCCGCAGCAGCGCGCGGTGACGTGGAAAACAGACAAAACAGCCAGGCTGAAACTGCTGGAATAAACCTGCCGAGCGATTTTTGGCTGTTTTTGTAAAGCCCTTGCTTTGGCCGAGCACATTTCTGGTACCTCACTTGGATGTGATTGGAATTGAAAAGTGATTTATGTGAAGGGACATCACTTGCCTGCTTCTCCCGCATTTAGCAGAGGCACAGTTCCCAGCCTGGACAGAGCCACGAAGCAGGGACACGTGCTCTCCCATCCTGACTTTGGAGGGCTTTTGTAAAAAGCTTCATGGCTTTAACACCTAATTTTGGCAGCGATGTGATTCTCCCTGAGGACGCCTCAGGTTCCTCCACTTTTTAGCTCTAATCTTTCGGGTGCCAGCTTTGGGAGCATGGCTTGCTCAGGGGATGGGAAGCAGGCAGGGGAGGTTTGCTGTTTTGTTTTGTTTTTTTTTTAACTGGAGGACAGAGGTTCTTAGGAGAACAAAAGCAAAGTTTCTTTTTCAGGGTTTCCGGGTCAGTGGCTCTGAAACAACATTTAGCAGCTTTCTGAAGGAAGCAGATGTCCCGTGCTTGGCTCCGCTCTGTACATTTATGCAGGATTCAGAAAACAGGTTTAGTCAGCCCCAGCTCTCTGCAGGAGGCAGGAGAGCTCCCAGCTGGGAGCAGCAGCAAATAAAGAGCCAGCTTCAGGAGCCCTTGAGCCAGTAACCTCATTAACATCTTGGAACGGCATTAAGGACACAAGTCTGACCAACCACAGCGGGGACTGGAGGAGTTTAACCTGGGCAAGGACATTCTGGGAAGAACACAGCCAGCCTGGAAGCAATACCCTGGGTGCCAGGTTCTGTTCAGGACCACGGGCAGCAGAGAGAGGTGCTGCTGTCTGAACACAGGCTGTTTAAATAACAGTGACACCCTGCCCTGCTCTTGGCTTGGACAGTCAGCTCCCCTCCCAGCAGCTGGTACAGAGCTGGGTCTGGATTTAGGATGAGAGCACTGCTGCTGACACACTGAAGCTTCACTTGATGCCCAGACCAGATCAAGGTAAAATGACCCTAAAAGAATTTCTTTTTGCCACATTTCACACGGTGCCAGCAGCTCCTGCCAGTTACTCATTCCTAGGGCTCAGCACTCCCAAAGTGAGCACACCACATTCCCAAATGCTGTCTGCAAGCACATCCAACTGCTCCAAGCCGTTCTGAAGGAACACAGTGCTCTGCACGGTCTCTTGGGGTGCGCTGAGCACATTCTATTGTTAAACTGCAGCTGCTGTCAAGGAAAATAAACCTCCAAAGGAGTTATCAGGTGGGAGAGGTGCCCAGAGAAGGGTGTGACTGCACAGAGAGTGGTCACCAAAGAAAAGCAAGTGGGAGTGGGACACTGGGAAAAGCAGATAAACCTTCCAAGCCTTTATCTGCAGAGCCTGCTGCCAGGCTGACCCTTCAGGGCTCCTGCTCCAGGAACACTCCTGCCTCGGGTGACACAGCAGGCCTCAGGCTCTGACTGCACCTGCAGGGACCACAGCTCCAACAAAGCCAGGGAGTCACATCTGTGCAGAAGGGACTGAACATCACCTGAGTAGGCACCAGTGACACACCACATTCTCAATGGATGAAATAAATTTGCTTCTAGCCTTCCAAGAACATTGCTTTTAACCTTCCAGACCCTTTTGGCAGTCCTCTTCCTCTAGCCCTTTTCTAGCCAAGCCCAAGGCCAGTGCCACAAAGAGCTACACAACAGCTCTGTATGAAAGGACAGCCACAGAAGCATCTGCACCCATTTGCCACCACAGTGATGCTACCAGGCAGAGTGGCACAGGCCACCCCCTGCTGGGAGGGATTCTGTGACACAGAGACTGGGGAGGGAGGCTGTATTCATGTTGGAAGTTTTCCCATCATGAAGGACTGGCAAAGAGAGCATTTCTTTCCACCCCAGCCCGGCCTTATCTCCTGCTGTGTCCCCGGGTGGGGCTCGCTGCTATCGCTCAGCCGTGCCCTGCACTGCTCATCTTACAAAGCCTTGTCTTTTCTCCAGCTGTTCTCTTTCAGCCCTCAGCAGCTGCTGAGAACACCCCTCCCAAACCTGCCTTAGTGCTTCACATGAAATCCATCCCCCTTTCTTCCCCTCTAAGCCTCAGCCACCTCTCCTCAGGGCAGGCTTCCTCAGGCTCAATTGCACCGAGCATCCAAAGCCGCCGTGCCAGCACACGGCTCCAGGGCAGAGAGCAAGAGCAGTGGGTGGAGGCTGAGCAGAGCAGTACCAGTGCGAGGAGACATGCTGTCCAGCAGCTTCACCATGCCCTCTCCCTGCACCGCCGTCCACTTCTTGATGGGGGAGCCGCCGCCGATCCTGCTGTACTGCTCCTGGATCTTCGGGGTGCGGCGCTTGGCGATGAGCGGGGCCAGCTTACTGCAGCGTTGGAGAGGGACCTGTTACCAGCACAGCCCAGGCCAGCCTCCCCAGAGCTCTGCTCCACACTGGCCCTGCCAATCCCTGCAAACCGTGTGATGTTCTACTCCACCACCCTTCCCAGAGCTCGGTCTGCAGCTACAGGAGAGCAACGCGGCACGCCTAACCCAGAGGCTCCAGCGCTGTCTGCTCCCGGGATGAACCGCTCTTAGGGAGTGCTGCTCTCCACAGAAGTAAACACAGGAGCTCGGTGTTTACAGCAACACCCAGCACCGCCTGTACCCCAGGAGATCCCAGCGCTCCTCACTTCTGAACTGGAAGGGTCATCAGATCTCTGTCCAGGAAGAGACGCAGCAGGAAATCGTGGACGTCATCCAGCCGCTCCGGGCCTCCCATGTTCAACATCAAGATTCCTGTCTTAGGTTTCCTAGGGAGGCAAGAGAGATTCCAAATCCTAGTGACCCACTGCTTTTATTTTTATTACGATGGCAAAACAAGCAGCTCATCCTCCCACATTTGCCTTTTGCAAAGGCAGTCCTATCCCAGGGCTCCTCCTGCTTATGTAAACACTTGCCCTGGAACAGGAATGGCCAGACGCAAGTATCTACATGATTTTTGCCTTTTTAAAAAGTAACCACCGTGTAACACAAACTTGAGCTGGAAACTCACTAAGAAAGCTGCTGCTGGCTCTAAGGGAGGTTATAAAACAGGGTCTCAGCTGGGCATCCCAACCAAACCAAGCACAGCTTCCCCGGAAAGCAGATAAGCCACTCACACGAGTCTGTCTTCATTACTGTGGGGCAGCTGGAAACTCACTAAGAAAGCTGTCTCGCAGCTGCTGGCTCTAAGGGAGGTTATAAAACAGGGTCTCAGCTGGGCATCCCAACCAAACCAAGCACAGCTTCCCCGGAAAGCAGATAAGCCACTCACACGAGTCTGTCTTCATTACTGTGGGGACACATCTCATCTCCTGCAGCACTGACAGCAGCAAGGAGCCTTTCTACACACAAATCCATTGCAGGGCCAGTTGTGTTTGGGCTGGGTTACTCCAGAATGGATTTTCTATGTGCGTGCAGGTCTGGCACACTGTTGTAAGGATAACGTCCCGCATGACACAGCAGCACAGATGGTGGTGTCAGCATTTACAGAACGGCTGCTGATCACAACTCTCACCCAATTTCCCCACGGAAATGTTTCCCCTGCCCAAGGGAGCCCACAGACCAGGACCTCACTTCCCCAGCAGATGGGTCAGGTTGCCCTTTTGTTAAAGCCGAAGGGCACCGAGAGGAGCCCAGGCCCGCCCCAATGTTTCGGGACCTCAGCTTCCACTCCCTCTCTGCTGGAGTGTGTATCAGAAGGAAACCCAGGAAGCAGAACTCCAAAGCAGGGCGATAACGAACGCCCCTGCAGGGCTCCCGGGGCGCCTGAGGCGGGAGCCGTGCAGGAGCAGGCTGCCCGTGGCAGATAGGCAATCACACGGGCACACACACCGCACACCCACCGCTCCTGCGGCCGCGGCCGCGGCCTGGCGCTCTCGGTCACCGCGGCCGCCGGGGCCTGGCCTCTCCATCGCAGCGGCACCCGCAGCTGGCTGCAGCTCCTCAGCACTGCGGAGAGAACGGCAGCGCTCAGCCGCTGCCCGCGGCGCGGCAATCGCGGCGAGGCGGCACGCCAAAGATCCTGCCTTGCTCTGAACGGCTCTGCAGGCGCCAGGCAGCACCAAAACACAAACCGAATGCCAACCCGTGAGCTGCACCCACCACTCCAAAAGAACCGGTGACAACAGAGCAGAAACAAGGGGCTGGCCCTGAGGAATAAGCGTCAGGCTGTGTCACTCACTCCTCGTGGGTCAGACACGGCTGGCTAACCCCAGGCAGGACAGGATTTCCACACCGTGTCCACAATGTAGGGTAGACACCTGCTCCTGTTTGAACACCGAGCAGCGGCTCCAGAATCCGTGTACCTGCAGACCTGGGCCGCCTTCTTTCTCACTACCCATTAATCTGGATCTCAGCATCGCACAAACCCCAGGATTTTACAAGTCTGCGCACATTCCCCTCCCTCTCCAGCTCTCCTGGATCCCCTTTAACCACTGGAAAGGGCTCTGAGGTCTCCCTGGATCCTTCTCTTCTCCAGGCTAAACACTCCCAGCTCTCCCGGGCTGGCTCCAGAGCAGAGGGGCTCAGCCCTGGAGCATCTCCGTGGCCTCTCTGGACTGGCTCCAGCAGCTCCACGTCCTTATGTCAGGCACCCTGCAGCTGAACACAACTAGATTATCCTTAAGGTTCCTTCCAACCCATTCCACACAGTTCCATACAACTCCATGCTGGTTACAGCCTGCCTTTTCAAAGGCACACTTCGTTCTCCTCGGGAGTTCATCGTCATTACACGGTTTTCTTTTAGCGCAGAAATAGTGTGAATTGCTCACGGTGAAAAAAAAAAAAAGAGGTGAAATTCTGCATCCCCGTCTCTCCGGCAATTGCTCAGTGAGACATTTCCCCTGTCAGACCACAGGAGCTCAGCAGCAATTGAGCCCCAACAGCACAGAGCTCCTCAGCAGCCGACCCACCCGCTGGGAAGAGCATCTTACAGCTCACAGTTCTCTAATAGCCTCCTGAACAGATGCTGAACGGCCTCAAAACCTGCTGAAATCAATGGCGACAAAACGCAAATCCAGCCCCTTGCTCAGGATTACAAGTGCGTGGCTGTGGATGCCTGCGTCTGCACTGATACAAAAGGCTGCAAACTAAAGAACTCCAAGCGTCGCTGATGCCTGAAAGGTCCTTTTCAAATAATCATTTTTTACTTCCAATTCTTGGGTTATTACTTTCTGAGGTGCTGGCACCATATGCCAGTTATAGAGAACAATAAAAAGGAAAGTTTCAGTGGCTGCATTGATACTTCTGCACTGTTCTTGGCACAGAGGGTGGTTGGGCACCGACCAGGCTCCCAGGGAACGGTCACAGTCCCAAGGCTGCCAGAGCATCTGGATAACGCTCTCAGGCACAGGGTGGGATTGCTGGGGTGTCCCGTGCAGGGCCAGGAGTTGAATCGATGCCCAGGAGTCCCTTCCAGCTCAGGACATCCTGCAAGTGTCTGACTTAGGGTGAGATTTACACACGTTTGCACCTGCACCACGAAGGACACAGCGCAGAATGACACGCGCAACGAGGACGATCCCAGCTTGATGGAGCATTGATAAAAGCGTCCTTGCACGCGTTTTAGAAGCGGCACTACGGAATCAAACTCTAAGGCGAGCACCGGGGTGGGCAAGCTCGCGGTGCCCCGGGGCAGGGACGCAGCCAGCGCTGCAGGCCCGGGCTGAGCGGCGGAGGGCAGCGCTGGCCCTGCCCGCGCCCGGCTCACGGCGAGCCGCGGCACCGGCAGCACCTCCGCACCAACGCCGTGCAACAAGGGGCTCGCTGGAAGCGCGGGGGGCAGCAGCCGTGACCGTACAGGAGAGCGGCAGGGCTGGAAGCGCGGGGGGCAGCAGCCGTGACCGCACAGGAGAGCGGCAGGGCTGGAAGCGCGGCCCGGCCGGGGCAGCAGATGTGACCCGCAGCACAGCGGCCGCGATCCCCGCAGGGCTGGCCCCGGCCGGGCACAGCCCTGCGCGCTGGCCGCGGAGACCCCGCAGCCCCCCCGGCCCCCTCAGCGCAGTGGCGGGAAGCCGCCATCACGGCGCGCAGCACCGGCGAACCCTCCCGCAGCCCCGGTAAGCCCGCCGGCCGCACGGCCCCGCCGCCCCAGCGCGGTCAGCGTTATGAAAGGCGCCTCTCGGGCGGTTGTGTAACGCGGTGCCCGGCGATGCCGCGGCGCTCCCGCCCGCGCAGCGCCCGCGGTGCCCGGTCAGCCCTCAGGCCGCCCGCCGCCCCCGGGCCCCGTTCCCGCCATCGCGGCGGCGCCCTCACACTCACGGTGACGCCCGGCAGCGGCGGCAGCGGCAGCCATCTTGGCCGCCCGCATTCCCTCAGACAGCCCCGCCGCCGTCCCTCGCCTCACACCGCCCCCGGCACCGCCCCGGCACCGCCCCGGCACCGCACGGCACAGGGGCGGTCCTGGGGCGGGTGTCCCGCAAGCGGCGCTGCCCCGGCTCCCCTCCGCAGCCCCTGCGGACTCCTATGAAGGAGAGTGATCCCCGGTTGGAAGTGACGCTCTAAACTGCAAAACGTTTTAAAACTGCAAAATCTTCTAAAAAGAGATTTAAAATGTTGTTGTAAAAAATGCTGGCGCCTCGTGAGAGATGAGGGTTCGGTTGTGCGCCCCGTCAGACACGTTGGTGCAGGAGCACGGAGCTCAGCTGCTAACCTCCACTCCCGGCAGAAACTGAGGCACTGGAATTCGGGCATTGGAAAGGGTTGTCCAGGGAGGGCGTGGAGTCACCATCCCTGGAGGTGTTTAAAAAGCATCTGCATCTGGCACTGGGTGATGTGGTTTAGTGGTTTAGGTATTCCAGAGGTAGTGTTAAGTTGGTGGTTGGACTTGGTGATTCTACGATAATGATATTTAAATGCGATTTAAACACAAAGGAGCAAACACCACGGCGCTTATCCTGCACATGTGGGTGGCTTGCGTTCCACGTCTCAGCAGGTCAAGGGCAGAGCCAGCTCTCGGTGCCAAAGGCTGGCAGCACCACGTTCTCCTCAAAAGTGCCTTATAACGGGGGGCCAGGCAAACTTTAACACAGATAAATATAAAATAGTGCATGTCAGGAGTGGTAATCTAATCAAAGCTAAAGGACAGTCATCCCAAAGCTGCCAGGGACATGGCTGAGGTCCTGAAAGCAGTGCTGGCAGCCCAGTTTACCAGTTCCTAATCCAATTACCAATCTGACTTTCTGGAGACACTGTGAAGGAAAATGAAAGTGAGGATGAGGAGAGATGCAAGTTCTGATTACACATTTTCTTCTCTTCTGCAGGCTTGTTTCCCTGTCTAATAAAAACACATGCAGGTTCTCTTGCGTTCCAAGCAGCTGCAGCATCTTTCCCACATCCCACCCCACCTCCCTCCACCAGCTGCCGAGGGGATTGCACAGCAGTCTCTGGTAAGTTCCACAGCATCTTTCATGCAGTCACCTTTTAAGCTCCTTATCTGATCTGCCTCTTCCATGAGCACTTCTTAAGTCCTCAGCCCTTCCTCTAGCAGCTCCCCTGATAAGGAGGCCTTTAACCTTTACAAAGCAGCTCAGCCCTGTCAGGTTTAAGGACTGAGAACTCATCCCAAACAAGGGATGTTTTTCTAGAAGCACCTTTTCCTGACACTTCTGCCTTCCCATCACTTCAGGCACGAAAAGGAAAGTATTTTATAAAGCCTTTACCTGGTGCCAGAAGTCTGGGCTGCTCCCCCAGCACTGCTGCCTCAGCAACGTTAGTCAGCACCACACTGATTCTCTCCAGCACATCTCACTGGGCAGCTGAGGTGGTCCCTCCAAATTAGAAAAATTCATGCTTTTAAGTTAATTAGTGGGGATTTTGTTTAAAATGGGAAAAAAAGCTCATGCCAGTTCTTGGGATATGTTGACTGCACTTGGGTAAGTGGGTTTTTATCCACACTATAGCAAGCAGCAAGCTCCACAGACTCAGTAAAAGGAACAGGCATTAAAGTACTGTCTTGCACACCAGCTTCTGTTGCCATAATTTATTGGTTGCTGATTTAGACCAGTTTATATAACATGCAAGATGAAGAAAACCAATCACTTATTACAAAAATGTGGGTATCCACAGCTCAACAATTCCAGGAGTGAATGGCAAACCCAGCCCAAGTCTCAGTGCAGGTGGCAAATGATGCACCTACCTTTTTTTCTCCCTGGTAAAGGAATTGCTTTATGACTGGAAACGATACCGATGACTCAACACATGAAGTATTTCATTATCCCTATTTGATAAGTTCATTACAGCAGGGAAGCTGCTCAGCTGCAGTAGCACAAGGGAACAGGGAGCTGCTCTGTGAATGCACCTGACACGGGAAAGCACTGCTGGGACTACAGCCTGAAAACCCAGTGTGTTTCAGTGACTGTTCCTCTGGCTCTCAGTCAGTCACTTCTGCTGGCAGACAGGGAGCTGAAGGCACCACAACCCAGCCCAGGGGCCACGGGACACGTCCGGACCCACGGCAGCTCCTTCCACAGCTCTTGGGAAAGGGAGCAAAGCCTGCCTCGCCAGCCTCAGCACTGCTGAGCAATAAATAATCTGAAAAAACCCCAAAGCCCCACGCCCAACCCGCCTCCGTGCACTGTACTACACACCCTGCTACTGCATCAACCCAGAGAACCCCCGTTAAAATCAGCAGGAACTAAAAACGTGCAGTGCTCAAGGTACTTATTCCCATTTTTATCCTTTGTTCGTGCCTCTCCATACCATTCTCACAGGGCACTCTTAGGGAATTTCAAGATCTTGAACTCCTGACTTCCCCAACGAGAAACCCCAAGAGAAAAGAGATTAAAATGAAAGCAAATTTCAAAATAAAATGATCAAATGCCCAGCATATTTTAAGTCACAGAAATTAAAAGCAGAAGTGTATCCTGTTTTCTAAATGACAGCTTATCAGGATCTTTGTTTTGTGATGACTCAAGAGCATAGATGCACCTAAACAATTTTTCTAAGGCTTTCTCCAGTTAATTACTAGTATTTTGTTTTAAAAAAGAGGTTTTGGTTTTTTTCCTTTTCACATCCTAAACAGGTATTTGAATTAGCAACAGGTTGCAGGAAGTGTTGTTGTCACACAGACTGTAGTACTGCAGTGTGTATCACTCTTTCCCAAGCATCAGCTGCCCAGTTTTCCAGGAGTTTTTCCCAAGGTTGGCTAAGGTTTGCAGCGCTGGACAAAGCGTGGATAGAGACAGACATCTCGGATATGGTGTCTGTTCAGAATCCAGGTCAGGAACCGCTCCAATCCCAAACCGTATCCTCCGTGAGGGCACGTACCGTATTTCCTCTGTGAAACGCAGGGAGGGGATATTACACATTTTCCAGTGATTTGTAGTTGCAGTAACACCACAGAAACACCACAGAAACACCACGGCTCCCGCGCGAGCCGGCGCAGGCGCTGTACTGACCTGATCCGTGTACCAGTAGTAGGGCGTGGGATCGATGCCCTCTCTCTTGTAGCCCTCGAGCAGCTCCTCGCTGTCCCAAATGCGCATGGAACCGCCGACGATCTCGCCCACGTTGGGCATCAGCACGTCCACCTGCAGCGCACCGCAGCACGGCCCCTTACGGCAACGCCGCTGCACAGGGGAGCAGGCGCTGCCCGAGGCAGCCGTGCCACGGCACCCCAACAAAACCCGGCAAGGGCTCTCCAAGGAGCGCTCCTGCCCTCACGCGTCCCCACTGCTCCGAGCTACCCCGGCAGGAAAAAGGACTCACGGACTCGGTGAGGCGCGAGTCGTCGCTGCAGCGCTGCATGTAGAAGGACTTGATCTCCGCAGGGAAGCGGCACAGCAGGATGGGCTCGTTAATGGTGTCTGTCATCAGTCTCTCGGGAGCTTCGGGAATGTCCTGTGGTTAGAGCAGGCTTTGTTCACGTTCAGCACCGGAACTACGCCCGTACACAAGTCCCACGTGAAGGGGGCATGAAAGGAGACAGTTTCAGACTGCACATGTCCACCCTTTCATCCTAATGTACCTAAAGTCTTAAAACAAACTTATTGTAGACACACGTCTAAATTTTAGATATACGTTATTCCCAGACACATGTCTGGGAAAAAAAAATCTGTTCAATTGGAACCTAAGTCTCCCCAATATACGAGACAGAAAACCAAGGGGAAAAAAATCCTGGCTATGCTGTCAAGTTCTCCTGAGCTCCTTCCAACAACCATCTCACATGCTGGAGAAGCGTGGCCAGGGAATTGATGACAGGTGACAGCACAGGTTTTTATCCCAGTGTTGAAGGACATAAGGTCAAATCCCAAGCCACAGCTGCATTCCTACAGGACATTACTCCAGCTCCCAGCAGGACATACCTCCCCAAACTCATAGTAAGTGCCATCTTCCTTCTTCACATCGTGTTCCTTCAGCCACTCGATGGCTTCAGCATAGTTCATGCGTCGGAAGGGACGTTTGGGGGGCTGGAAACCCTGTGGATAAGAGCAAAGACAGGTGCAGGAGCACCATTTTAAAAGAGATACTTTTCTAGCTGATCAACAAGTCCATGACCTTTCCCAGCTCACATGCTATCAAATTATCACTTAAATGAACAAATCAAGCTCAGTACTACAAAGCTAGAACCAAACACAACCACCTCAAGCCCAGTGAATCTCATAGATCACCTGGAAGGAAAGATAAGGAAGTATTTCCAGAGCTGTAGGGCTCCATGTTCCAGGGGAGGAACTGAAACACCACTTGTTTCATCACTGCCTCATGCTCCATCACTGCCTCGGCTGATATCTGATTTCTAGGATGGAGGGCTTTATTCCACTGGCACAGCACACACTTCCACAAATCCTGGCACACTGTTGGCTTCTGGAGCATGCTAGCAGGGAACATCTTCCCCCACAGTTCCCTGCTTTGGTCTTTACCAGCCCAGCAGTTTTTTCATTCTTACTATGGTTAATATTCTTCTTGCCATTACAAATAGCAAGTAAGCTCACTGCCATGCCCTGCACCTGCCAAAGGAATGTGCTGAGCAGGAAAGGCTTAAGATCCTATTTTCTTGGCTGTTCCCATTGCTGCTGCCTACCGGGTTGAGGTCGTACAGTAAGCTCGCTGCAGGTGACTTCAAGACTCTGTCTACGACATCACACACCAAGTTCTCCAGGCGGTCCAACAGATCCTCAAAACTTATAAAAGGGCATTCGGCTTCGATGTGAGTGTACCTGAAACAAAGCCACACCACTGCAAAGTCACACACAGGCAACACATCTTTAGCTATGACACAAACTCACCTAAAGAACCCACAACCCAAACCCCTTTTACTCCCCCACTGTAAAGGAAATCAAGCTGTTAGAAAAGGAACAAGGACAACTGTCCATACTCTGCCAAGTGCCTGCGGGTCCTGGACTGCTCAGCTCTGTAGGACTG